CACAAGACCCACTAAACAAGCACACTTGCCCAAATGCTGCTTAACCGATTAGCAAAGGCTTTTCACTGGGCTTCATCTTCGTTTTCAAAGAACCGCCATGGATGCATTCCCTAACACAGGTTCCTATGTACTCGTGTGCATTTCTCATACGTGAACATACGGGAATGTATATGCAGAGTTCCTGTGTACTCACCCTGTCTAACTCAGTCTCCAGTTCAGTATGAACCTAGCATTCTCTTAGGAATTTCCCCTCAGCCTGAAAACGCTCCTCGGCTGAGTTTTTCTGTTAGTTGCTTATGGGTGATGGCTAATGATGTTTTTACGCGTCTAAGAGCCCTTCATTTCCTTATTACGCAGACATATCTGGCGTCGGCTCCAGGCTCCTTGCTATTAATAGCTGTTGAAGGCGTGCTGTACGTCTAATTTGACGCTGCCTGTGGTGACACAATTGGTTCTCAGTCACTTTACTGCCAATGTGTGCCGCTCACGCCACGGGGAGCTTTGAACTAATTGGTGAAGTCTCCGACCTCCGGGACTAAATCTAAGGCACACTTTCTTCTCTCCAGATCCTTCAGTAGCCCAGGTCTCTCTGGTTCTGTGCTGTGACTGAAACCAGAGGGGCAAGCCACCTCTTAGATTCCATTTTATCTGTGCTCATACCCAGGGAACACAGGAGCCCTCAGGCAGCTTCTGAATTTCCATATAATAACTAGAGTCGTAGACAGACAAGGTGCTTAGAGGCCTTGTTTTGGATGTATGCTTGTAAACAAACATTTTTGTTTTATTTAAATTGTTTCTAGGAAGCTATGAGGGAAAGTGATGAGCGTTTGGTTGGGGAGAAGGGTAGAGAGTCCCTTGTCATCTTTTGGGCAGGGTCCTTGTCCAGTCTTCTCACAGAATGTCCCTTTTGGTGCCACCACCGAAGGGCACACCTCCTAAGACAGCTTTTCCATGTGTGGCATCAGCTGCCTCTCGGAGCTCACAGCCCACTTCTCCTGCCCAACCAAGTCTCCCCCTCAACCATGCTGAGACCGTGACGAAAACAGGGCAGACGGCTTCTTCTCTGCTTCTCTTCCTTAGTCTGGGGCACTCCTGATCGCGGACCCGCCCCATCTCCTCCCCTTTGCCGACATCTCTTCCTACACAACACCAGTCCCCATGCTGGTTGCCTATCCCACAGCGTTCCTGGATTAGGGCTTCTAAGAAGGGAGCTAGGTCTCATGCTGGCAAGTGCTCAGACGGCCTCTGGGCTTGACTGGCATTTCGATGCGTGTTGTGTGAAGCTCTTTCTGTTACCATGGCACCAGCATCAGTACCAAAGGGTTGCATCGTTTAAGGGTAGCAGACACGCAACTCTATGAATGGTAGCTTGTTTGGATGGTGAAAATGTACTCTGTGTCAGTGACTTGGTAAAGGCTTGACGTATTCCTTTACTTCAAGAATTTGGAATCATGAAGTGAGCACCGGCTGTTCAGTGCATCGGGCTGTTGGCCACGCTCCACAGAGAGCTCCAAGGTGCCCTGGGATGGTCCTGCCAGTGCATCTGTAAATACAGAATACATATTGACAAAACACAGCCCTGGGTCATCCGTGACCTTCCAATAAGACCAAATGTCACTCTGTTTTGTCACAGTTTTGTTTCAACAAACACTTGTAGGTTGACTGGGCTTTTTAAACATCTAGAATATAGTGTTCTTTTCCAGGATTACTGAGTGTAAGCATCACCAAAGTTTCTCTTGCTTTAAAAATTATTAATATTCAGAAAGAAAAATCTTCAAATGTTCTGTGACTGTGGATGGGTATGGGACCTTGGACTGAGTGACTTTTCTCACAAGACAATTTTCTCCTCTTTCTTAAAGAACCTGGTTGTCATCACAGCAAAAATGGTTGAGCACTGTATTAATTATGGCACATCCAATGGTGTGTTCAGTCATTCAGTGACCGCCATGTGCTTTGCCTTGTATTTGACAAAAGTGGACAAAGATAAGCATGACCCTTGCCCTGGGGCCTTCATGGCTAGAGAACGCACATATGGAGTTGTAGTATGGGATAAGCTTCAATTTTGAAGTTTACATTCACCCATAAAACATCAGTCACGCTGGGCGTTGGTGGTGCACACCTTTAATCCCAGCACTGGGGAGGCAGAGGCAGGCGGATCTCTGTGAGTTCGAGGCCAGCCTGGTCTACAGAGTGAGTTCCAGGACAGCCTCCAAAACAATACAGAGAAACCCTGCCTTGAAACACACACACACACACACACACACACACACACACACACACACACACACACACAAGAAACCAGCAGTCGCAGAGATGGCTCAGAGGTTAAGAGCACTGGCTGCTCTTCCAGAGGTCCTGAGTTCAATTCCCAGCACCCACATGGTGGCTCACAACAATCCGTAATGAGATCTGGTGTCCTCTTCTGGTGTGCAGGTATCATACATGCACATAGAACACTGTATACATAATAAATAATTTTTTAAAAAAGACACCAGTCACCTTTATGAGATTCCAAACTCTTCCAGCGTTGTTGTTGCTGTGTTAAGAGTTTGTCACAGCCCAGACGAGGGCCGGTGACATCAAAAGATGATTAACTGGTGCAGCTGTCGGGATGTTAAAATAGAATTAAACCATAGAATTATTATTTTAGTCGTACATGTCTCGCACTACACTTAACTAAGTGTAGTTCATCTGTGGGGTGTCTGATACATGTAAAGAATCATATGTAAAGATAAAAATATGTAAAGATGCCAAGGGGCTTGTGCTGTTTGGGTTTTTTGTCAGCTAGACACAAACCTAGACGTGTTTGGAAAGGGGGAACTCTTAGTTAAGAGAACACCACCCTAAAGGGCTTGTTTCTGATTAATGATGAACGTGGAGCTCCCAGCCCACTGCCACCCTGAGCAGGTGGTCTTGGTAGTGTAAGAAAGCCAGCTGAGCAAGCCAGTAAGCATCTCCCCTCCATGGCATTGTCATCAACTCCCGCGCCCAGGTTCCTGCCTAGAGTCCTTGTCCTGGCTTCCCTCAGTGAGGGAGTGGGACCTGAGAGTCGTAAGATGAAATGAACCCTTGCCCCTCCAAGTTGCTTTTTTGTCACAACAAAAACCCTAAGGCAGGGCTCTCGGTGTTTATTTTTACTCTCTGACAATTTCATACATGCATATAATGAATTTCAGTCATTTGCACCCCCCCCATCCTCTCTTATCTCTCTTCCCTCTCCTGCCGAGATCTTCCTCCCCAACAAGTCCCTCTCTCACTAAATGTTAGGGTAAGGCACACAAAACTAAAACCGCATCAAGCAATTCATTTACAGGAGCACGGGCCACATTTAGAAGGCGGTTCGACAACGACCGTGTCTGATGAGCACAACAACAGTGTTAAGTCCCCCACTAGGGTCAGTGACCTCCCCAGACACCGGCTCTTCTTGGCCAAGTTTACAGTTACCGACAGGAATTCCCTCAAATCCGACCAGATTGTGGTCGGCTACTTCCATCATAGTCATGACACCCTACATCTGGAAGGTCAGTGTTGTAGTTTTCCAGAGCTCATGGCTGAGTCCAAGGCTACTGATGGCTTTTCAATCCCTGCAGCCTTCACAGCACCTTGTAGAACTATGGGAACCAGCGAGGAGGGAGGAAGCTTCCCGTTGAGCTTCAGCAGGATTTTGTCTTGTAACAAAGTTGTAACAAAGTATATGGTGTTCGGTGGTAACTTCTACAGTGAAATTCTGATGGTCAACCAAGGGCAATACCAATCCCTTGTATTGTCTGGAGGACAACTCGTGGCGAGGTAAACTGTGCCTGGAACTGGATTTTTTCCTTTTTAACCCTTCATTTCAGGGAGGAGCGTTATTGATTCGTTCAGGGTACCTCTGTGCAAACTTCCGTTTGAGAATTGCCTTTTAATAAGCTCATAAAATAGGCTTCGGTGTGCTTTCTCATGCATCTGTTGGCTAACCCTCCCCAGCCACCCCTACTTCCCATCACTAGTTAAGCTTCCTACCCTACACCCCACCTTCCACTCCAGGTCACCTATGTTCTAGTCTCTCCCCCAAAGGCCTCTTGGTGTCTTCCTTCTCCCTCTAATGGCCCTGTCTATCTTTGGGCTTCTAAAGGTGCTCCAATCTAGGTATAAAAGATAGAGTTCACATCTGAGAAGAGAACATTTGCCATTTGTCTTTCCTGGCCTGGGTTACCTCATACAGTTTAACTTTCCTGCTAATTTAATTTAAAAATGTCTTTATTGATGGGGGATGTCCTTCTGTATACATGTTTCTGTAATTGGTTGATGAATAAAACGCCGTTTGACCGATAGAGGCAGGGAGATAGGTGGGACTAGGAGACGAGGAGAATTCTGGGAAAGAGATGCCACGTAGCCTAACAGGTCCAGGCATTCTCCAGTAAGCCAAGACCACATGGAAATACACAGATTAATAGAAGTGGGTTACTATTTAAGACACAGCTAGCCAATAAGAAGTCCTAGCCATCAACCAACAGTTTATAAATTAATATATGCCTCTGTGTGTTTATTTGGGGCTGAAGTGTGGCAGCAGAACCTGGCAGGACAAAGGAATTCCAGCCACACTTTATAGCCGAATAAAATTCCATATTTCCACTACTTATTCATCAGTTGACAGACATCTGGGCTGGCTATTCATTTCCTGGCTGTTGTGAACAGAGCAGCAGTGAACCTGGATGTTCAAGTAGTGCTGTCGTGGGGTACAGTCTTTGGGGTGTGCGCCCAGGGTATAGCTGAGTCACTTGGGAGTTCTATATTTAGCTTTTTTGAGGAACCTCCACACTGATTTCCATAGTGGCTTCACCAGTTTACATTCCTACGCACAGTAAACAAGAATTTCCCCTAACCCTCACCTATGTTCGACATGCAAATCTTCAGTTTAGAACCTACCGAGGTTCTCTTTAGTCCGTGAGGGATTTTAGTGCAGATGATACATGAACCATATTTGAAGACCTGATAAGCATATGCAGAGAACTGGAGCGTTTGGGCCAGCATAATTTTATCCTTCTCAGTGGTAATTTAAAACTTAGAGATGGACAATGATCTTATAGGTGGACAAAGGGAGGTTGCAGTCTTGTGAACTCATCAGGGTGTGGGGATTACGGGCAAGCCTACTAAGGCATTTTTTTTCAAGTGTTATTTAGCCATAGACTCCTTCATCTAGACAGTTTTCCAAGGAGGTTTGAAGTGTCAAGCCATCAAGGTTGGAGACAGAGAGAGGTGTGGTCTTTGGGGGCTTCTCCCTTTAGACTCTTCAAGCCCCGCCCACCAGGGTACCCAGGGTTGGTGCCCACAATTTGCCAGAGCAAGTACAAGGGTCCAGGAAGCAGACACGAGTGCGGGTCTCCACAGAGCACTGTTGGCGGAGGCGGAAGCCGGTGGGGGCTTCGTTTTGTTTTGTCATTTGGTTTGCTTTACTGGCCTTGGCCGCTCTCCTCGAGTCTTCTGAGAGGCTACACGATTCACTCATCTTTGCCTCCATTGGATTTGACTGAGTTCACCCATGCCCTAGAGGAGAAGAGGTCCCTCCGAGAACCTCATGCTCAGCGCCCTCTCTCCAGTGAGAAAGGCAGTCCCACAGAGACGGTGAGCTGCACTGCAATTCCTTTGTGAGCCGCATTAGAAAGCAGCACTGTCCCCAAGGCTTTGGTTCAGGGACCTACCATGTGGCTCAACATGTAAAGGTGCTTGCGGCCAAGCCTGAAAAACTTGAATCCAATGCCCCCTGGATCCACAGTGGCGGAAGGAGAGGATGGAGCACTGAAATTGTCCTCTGACCTTCACAGGCATCACCCCATCCTGGTCCAGGGTCTGAGGATGTAGATCCATAGTAGCGCTTGCCTAGCGATACAAGGACCCGAGTTCAATCCCCAAGCACATCAAAACAAGCATACAGCCAGGTGGTGGTGGTGGCACACACACCTTTAATCCTGGCACTCGGGAGGCAGACGCAGGCGGATCTCTGTGAGTTTGAGGCCAGCCTGGTCTACAGAGCGAGTTCCGGGAGAGCCAGGGCTACACAGTGAGACCCTGTCTCAGTAAACCAAAAAGCAAAACAAAAACAAGCAAACAAAAATAACAACCTTCATGGGACTGGGGAGACAGAAGGGCTTACCTTGTACCCTAAGGACCTAGTCAGATCCCCAGAGCCCTTATAAAGGGGAGGGAGGGGCTACCGCCAAATGTGGTGGCGACATGGGCATTCAATTCCATTGCTGGTAAGGCAAAAACACACAGATCTCTGGGGCTCACTGGCCAGCCAGCCTGGCATACTTGATGAGCTCCAATGAGAGAGTCTGTCTTTAAAAAGGTGCGTGGAGCCTTAGAAGTGATATCCGAGGTTGCACACATACACACAAACACACACACACAGGCTTTCCCTGGCCTTTACGGGCTATGAGCAGCACAGTCCCACAGACTTTGCATAGAACGCCAGGGGTTGGTGAGCTGCAGGCTATGGTGGAGGGAATGACACTTGGACCGCGCTACCTTTCTGTGTAGAGTGCTTTCTTGGATAGGTAATCCATCTTCAAATGGGACAGACCTTAAAACAGGGTCCTGAGCAGGACAGTCCGCAGAGACAAGCCAGCACAGGATTTCTGATTGGAACGAGGGGTCAACCGGGGGACCAGGAGGAGTGGGGGGCCGGCAGCGACCTCCCCCTTGCCTGGTGGGTCCCTGAGTGCAGAAAAGTCACCTCCTACTAACCCCGAAGCCTGGCTTCCTGTGACAGAGGCTTTGGACAAAGCTAAATGGCCATGTCACTGATCCAGCCCTTTTTAATTTGTTAGAGAGATGTCCCGTGGAGAACAGGTCATCAGCGATTGTCCTGGCTCCAATCTCTTCCCTTTGCTGTGCCCCTGCCAGCTCTGACTCAGCCCTAGATTCACACCCCCCCAAATAAAAAATAAAAATAAAACACCCATTACCTAGTCCTTCTCGGTTCCTTCTGCCAGTTAAAGGGAGAAGGATAGATTTACCTTCTGCGGAGTTATGATAGAACAATGAGTATCTTTTCCAGGCGGTTATGTTCCTATACATTCTCAGCAGTAGCTGAAGCCAGGTTTCCACCCAGGGAAGGCCGAGTGCCTGGCACGGCCAGACGCAGTCAGATCTTTTTATCCTCCTCTCCGTGCTCTTCCTCCTGCCAAAACCTTTCTCTGTGGAAGAGGAACAATTACGCTTATTCTTTGAAAACTGCGAATTTTATTTTGAGCCGGGATAGTCCCCAGTTTTAAATATTTCACTCTCTTTCTTTGAGTTTGAATAATATTTTGTCGGGGGGTGGAATTAGCCCTTGGCCCCAGGATATCAGCACTGGGGGTTAATCGATCAGTGGCACTGAGCCAACAGAACCATTTTTAAACATTTCGTCTTCACTGCTCAGGGGAGGGAGAAAGGAAATTTCAGACACTCGGGGTCCTCTGTGTTTTGTTTAATTTACCAGCTAAACCATAAATAGCCTTTGGCCAAGACAGTTAGTTCCCTGAGTCCACTGAGTTATGTTATTGTTAACGTGCCTCGAACTAGACACTCAGGTTTTTGGTTTGGGTGCTATGTTGTAACATTAGCTATGGAATCTTTCCCGTAAGTTTTTGAGTAAGAGAGAAAGAAAAACTTCCTCATTGTCAGTCTTAAGAAGCCATCCGACCACACTCACGCAGAGTGTGTCTGAGGTCTACCCGCATTGGCACCACCTGAGAATGTTCTAGAAAAGCAGGTGACTTGGCTCTCCATCTCTAGCCACTGACAAGAGCCTGCGTTTCAGTCAGGTCATCAGCTGGCTTGTGTACATGTTGGTTTAGTCTGAGGCTTTCATTTGTCATGGGAGAAAAAACGGAGGAGCAGGCAGGTTCTCAGGGTTCAAGGTGAAACTGTCTTGACATTCAGCTCCGTAGCCTCCCTGGATCCAGGCTTAACAGCATGGCTGAAGGTTCTGCCACACCCACTTTAGACCACGCTTTACCACAATCATGGAGTGGAGGAATACTCTAGACCACCTACCATGGTGGACACTTTCCTAAAAATCACTGAGAAAGACTAGTCCTGCACACAGATCTAGGCTGACCTGGTGATTTCAACACTGACGGATAAGGAACGTGTCACCCTCCAAACGGACTATGGATAGCTTCTGGGGATGGCGGGACCACAGGGAAGCAGGTCCAAGCCCACAATATTGACATTGGAGTTTTCGCTGCATATGTAAGAGAATACCTCCATCAACCCCCAAACATGTCTGTTATTGACTGGCTCCCAAAGTCAGGTGTTTTCTTAAAACAACAAACAAACCTGTTTCTCCGATTTCAGGTTTGTTGTTAACACAGACCATCTCCTTGGACTAGCTTTTTATTTCCACTGCAAATAGGTCTAGGTGTAGAATAGACTGGGTCCCCTGTTTTCACATCCTAACATCTGTCATTATAAAGAAAGATGTCCAGCCTTGCTGTGTACTGAGAAGCAATGAGGACAGTGACCTTAAAAGCCAAGCTGGGGAGTCAAACGTTGACTGTTTCTGACACACAGAGAGAAATGCCCTGCTCTGTGTCCAGGTCCGAAGTCCCTGCCTCACTCAGGCAGAGGACCCAGCTTGTAGAGCCTGAAGCAGGAGTCCCACAGGTTCCTAGGCTCAGAGAAGCAGAAACTTTCCCTGGAGGAGGCAGTGGACAGACATTCTTTTGTTAATGAGGGTGAATTTTTTTTTTAACTGAGATGCTGCTCTGGTCAAGACTCACAGCTGCCGGAAGCTGAGCAGATGGGGACCCTCAGGAGGTGACCCTCCCTTCTCCATCCTTTTCTGCCTGGCAGGCTGAAGAGCCCTCCATCTGCATGGCTCAGCACGGGAGAATGCTCCAATTGCTTCTAATAAAAGCAACTCTGGGCATCATGGCTGCTTGGCGAGAGTTGCGGCAGCAGGCATGTGTTCCTCGCCTCTGAGCTCTCACCTCTGAGGGAATGCGGGTTCCCTGGCGGACCCTAGACCTTTAGCCTCAGCCTGAAACGGTAGGAGGGGGACCCGTTGTGCTCCAGGTGTTCAGTTCTAGAGTGAAATCCTAGGGACATCTGACAGTTACCCATTTCAGTGGCTGCTCTAGATTCTCCCAGGCTGAAGATACTGGGATGTGCCGGGGAAGGGGGGATGATGACACAGCTGGGTACCCCAGGAAGCAACTCTTGGGGATCTAAAGTTACCTTAGGCTCGTGAGAAAGCCCACAAAACAAATGACCTTTTAAGGGAAAGTGAGTCTGTCTGACGATCCCAGTTTCCCTTGGAAAGATTATAGATGGAGATGATACAGACTGCGAAATCAAAGAAGACTCGCTAATGTTCAAGACTCCGTTACTACTGGAAATTTTGGGGAGTTCTCACCAAAGTGGCCACAGGTACTGAGAAACCAGAGTCCCCTCTTGGTGTTCTTAGTCTCCTTAGAAAAAGAATCATGTAAGAGCAGGCTCAGACAAAAGCTTGGGCACTGTTTTTCTAGAGTTTAAGAGAAAACTCCAGGGCAGTCAAGGCATGAATCTTAGCAGCTGCCTGGAGGAGGAACAGGAGACAGAAAGAGAAAGCCCTATGTGAGTTAAGGGGGTACAGAGATCAGCCACACCGTGAGCAGGTGGGCAAGCGGGCTGTAGAGAGAGAGGTAAGGCGACCCACAGCACAAAACAATCAAAACCCACACTTAGGCTCTGGCCACCATCTGAAAAAAAACAAAACAGAAAGGGGAGAGGAGAGGATGGGAGGGAGGAGCTATTCCCTTCTGAGTTCTGACTCACCTATCAGGCTCACCAGAGCCTCATGGAGGTCTGTAGGCTGCTCTGGGGGTTGGGCATTGTGGGAAGGAAATCTCACTGAAGGGCTAATTATTCCGTCTATCTCTTTAACAGGACTTAAGGTGATCCCACCCGCTTCCAAGAGGTGGACCCTTAGCCAGACCACTTAACTGCCCAGCCAGAATGTTAGGTCTCTACCCAGGCCAGAGACTCCATTCTCTGGGCCATCACTGCTACTGTGACATTATGAAATTATTTGACCAGTCAGGACTTCTGGACTGTAGGGAGTTGGCATGTTGCTGACCCACAGCCATTGGGCCAGAGGAAGTAGTTGTCCCTTCCTGGGCCATCACTGCTACTGTGGCACCATGAAGTTATTTGACCAGTCAGGACTTCTGGACTGTAGGGAGTTGGCATGTTGCTGACCCAGAGCCATTGGGCTATTCGCAGTCCCATTCATGGCCATTTACTGACTACCTCTTTGTCTAACCAATATCCTTGTGACTAACACATGAAGCATTTGGGAGAGAGGCTAACAGGCAATTGTTCCTGAAACGAAAAGCCAAAAAGATGTCATTGGCTGAAGCTCGCTGTGACCCTCCTCTACCTGGTGTTTCCGCCTATGTGTCTGAAAGGTGCCTTGATTCACTGGCTGGCTTTTGCTGGGCAACTGTAACACTTCGTGAACTCATCACCTCCCTGGGCAATGGTATTGGGAGCAGCCCGAATGCATATCACCAGGCCGTGGCCACTCCTAGGTGACTCCAGAGTAAACCACCTCTTACTCCCTGTAAGGTGAGGACTGTGTTTTGCATCAGTAAGATAATAGAGAGCTGTGTAGGGCCAGTGAAACGACTCATGGAGTAAAGGTGCTTGTCACCAAGCCTGACGACCTAAACTTAGTCCCACGTGGTGGACAGCGAGAACTGACTGCCACAATTGGGGTGTTCGTTAATTTCCACACGCATGGTGCAGCATGTGTGTGTGTGCGTGTGTGTGTGTGTGTGTGCGCACGCGCGTACGTGTGTGTGTGTGTGCGTGAATGTGTGTGTGTGCGTGTGTCCACACAAATAAATAAATGCTTATTTAAAATGTTTTTAAGGATATATGGGGGAGGCTGTGGCAGTGGCCCTGTAAAGCTTAGAATTTCAAACACTCTAGTAAATTCCATCTCTCAGATTACTGCCATGGCAACTCACCAGGGAGCTGGAGATGAACTTGAGAGTAAGTCCATGCGAGATAATAGACTTAGGGTGATCTGATGGATGGCACAGTAGAGCGTCCAAGCAGCGGCCATCATGTCACTGGTGGCCGTCTCAGGAGGAGACCCTCCTGATCAGCCACATGATCCTTGAGCCGAAAGCCGAGTGTGCTGAATCCGTGTGGTCTCAGAATCCCGTGCTGTGAAAACAAGCTATCTAGGAATATTTTTCTAAAAAATAAATAAGGAAGAGAGGCTGGGCAGATGGCTCAGTGACTGAGGTCCCTGGCTCTTCTTAGAACCCAGGTTCGAGTCCCAGCACCCATGTGGCATTCCAGTTCCAGGAGCACCAGGCACACCCCCGCTGCTCAGATGCACAAACAGGCAAAACACTCGTGCACAGAGAAATAGAACAATACATTTTTAAATTAAGAAAAAAACAGAAGAAAGCAAGCTTTACCGATATGGCGGTGTGGTTTGAGCCTAGCATATCCCGTCCGTTGTATGTCAGACAGCCTCATGTTGCACGTGTTCCTGTGAGGTCACCTTCCAAAGGAGGGACCTTGCACACATCGCAGGGTGAGCCTGACAGCTGACCTGTTTGACACTGAGTGTGGTATCTGCTGCTAACCCCGTTTATTCAGTGGCCGTGGAATCAATCTGTAGATTATATCTTCCTTACTCTGATAGAATAGATAGGCAAATCAAAATGATTCTTGCTGAGAGAGAGAGAGAGAGAGAAGAAATGACCCAGGCTGGCATGAAGCACCCAGCCCAGGAGACAGGAGGGCTCCTGACAGGAGGAGACTGTAAACCATGGAAAGGGTTAATATGAGTTGCCAGAACATTTTCCAGAAGAGGGTTTGGAATGTGGCTCCTTTTCTCTGTCCCTGATGCTGCCTGTCACCCAGCATCTCTGGCACCTTAGAGCAAGAGGGCAAGGATGCTGGGAAGCCATGGCCACTTAGCTACTGAGCAGAGACTGTAGAGACCAAGCCCTCAGTTCCCCGCCCCCCTCCTGTAGACATAAAATCCACAGCAGTGCTTTAGAGCTCCGCAAAACTCGTTGGTAAATATTGAGACGCTTTTGGTGAGAGTTATTTCTTCACAAAGGGGGGGGGGGATCCACCTGTAACCAGGTTGATCTTGTCCTGAACGCAGTTAAAAATGGCCACAGAGTTAGGAAGATGGCTCGGCAGGTAGAGCCCCCACCATGCTGGGCATGCTCAGACGCTGGGGCTCAGATCTCCAGGACCCACGTAAACGCCGGGTGGGCATGGCAGCCCACCGGCAGTTCTTCAAAGGATGGGAACCGGAGATCTCGAGCAAGGTGGCTAGCTAGCCTAGCTACATTAGTGAGCTCTGGGTTTGATTGAGACGCCTGCCTTGATTAATAAGATGGGGGAGCTGTGGAGGAAAATTCCTGACTTCAGCTTTGGACCTCCTCACACTCACACTGGACGTGTGTGTGCCCACACACATACAAACACTAGTGCACGCACAGAGACGCATGCAAAAAGGAGAAAAGAAGACGGTTTTCTTTTTAAAAGATCGCACACGCATGCACAAGCAATTGCACACACACACACACACACACATACACCATGTATATCATGCCAAATGCTTGTCTTGTTGGCTAATACTGTCAGAATGGGAACACAAAATATCACTAACTGTGAAGAAACAGGATGAAGACAGCTGAAGCAGTGTGGGATGTTTGCCGTGGAGTTGTTTGAAAGCATGTATGTTGTCAATCTGTCTCAGTGCGGAGTGTTTGCTGCAGTCTGTATTAGTGATTCATATCCTAGAGGTGTTTCGGCTCCCTCCCTTCCTCCCTCCCTGCCCCCTCCCTCCCTGCCCCCTCCCTCTCCCTCCCTCCCTCCCTATCTCTTTCTCTCTCATATGTACCTGCTTACACATGAGCATATGTGTGTGTGTGCATACATGTACATTCCTGTTGCATTCGGGGAAACGACACTAAGAAACACAACTTCCCCACAGTTAGATTCCTTCTCTACTTACAGAGTACTCCATGGGACACGGCTTTGGGCTGTGTGTGCCCACTGAAACCAGACGTGAGAGTCACTGCCTGAGCCGCTCACGGGAAAGCTTTTGAACCTGAGTCACTGACACTAGAAGCTCACAAACCGATTCAAGATGTGACCCATATGGGGTCAGTCTCTCAGAGTCAGACTGTGTAGTGGAGCGGGTTTCAGTCTCTCAGAGTCAGACTGTAGTGGAGCGGGTTTCAGTCTCTCAGAGTCAGACTGTAGTGGAGCGGGTTTCAGTCTCTCAGAGTCAGACTGTAGTGGAGCGGGTTTCAGTCTCTCAGAATCAGACTGTAGTGGAGCGGGTTTCAGTCTCTCAGAGTCAGACTGTGTAGTGGAGCGGGTTTTAACCACAAACATCCTCTGCTACATATAGACTGGGCTCCTTCAGTCACCTCCTGAGGGACAGTTAAGGGGATTATATTATTAAACTTAGGATGAATTGTGCATGTCTTTTTCTCTTTTAAGACTCAAATATGTTGACCTTTTCCGGGATAAACATTATCCTAGCCATCTAGTAGATAGTCTTTAAAAAGTAATCACTGTGGGGTTTTCATAAAGAATGTTCGTCTCAAGCAGGCGTGACTAAGGTAGCCGAATGTTTTGTTCGTCCAAGTGTGTCACCTAGGTTAGAGTAGATTCCCTGCTCCTCTCCACCTCCCTCAGGTGCGCTGCACAAATCTCTCTCTCTCACTCGCTCTAGCCATGCAAGAAATCCGTGTTGATCACGGACTGGGTATTAGTGCTCATGATGGCAAGTGGGAGGAGCAGCCTTTAAAAATGAGCAAGCCATATACCATACGGTTAAGTGTTGGAGGGAAATAAAAAAGCAAAAAGGGAATTGAGGAGGTCCGGGATACACTGTCACTTTAACTCGTCCATCAAAGGAGCCCTCATTGAGAGGATAGCTCCCACAGGAAGATCCGAAGGGTGTGAGCTCTGGATGGGTAGATGCCTGGAGTGAGGTCTCCTGAGAGGCTGCATAAGTGCTCAGCCCCGAGGAAGGCTTGTGCTTGGGGTTTTAGTGCAACCAAAGGAGGAGGAGGCTGCCATCGGGAAAGAGAGAAGGCAGAAGGTGCCCCCAGCCTTGGTAGAAGCCCAGATGGGCTTGAAGGACTTGGTTTTGTTTCAAGTGAAGCTGCCGCCGCGAGGCTCCACGCTGAAGGAGTTGTGTGCTCCGTCCCTGCTTTTGCCGGAGTGTTTGAGCCGCATTACAGGGCAGGCTGAACGGAGACACTGCTGTGGAGAGCTGTGAGGAGCCATCACGTAAGTCATCATAGGGAGAAATCGCCCAAGGTGACCTGGGCGGGGTGGAGAGGATGATAGGGTTTGGTGCACAAGTTCTGAATGAACTGCTGAAGTGTCCCCTGCCTGCACAGGACAGTCTCAGGGCCTGTCACAATGCCACGTCCAGAAAGTCACAAGATGTCTCCTTAGAGAACTGTACCCATTGCAGGAACCATGTTGGATTCATTGCGTGCATTATAGGTTGAGAAGCGGCCTGGATAGACAGTAGTTTATCTAAGGATTGAAAAGGAAGTGCTGTGTTGTGATTTGAGTTTGGGCACTTAGTCTCCAGCTCATGCAGTTGCTTTGGGAACTTGTGGGGCCTGTAGGGCGCAGAGCCCTCAGCTGTCCAGCTGCCACAGTGATGGGGAAGCCAGCGTCACAGAGAGGGACTTGTGTGCCCCTTATGTGCATCCCAAAGTTGACCCTGTCTAATGAGACCGTTCAAGCGACCCTTGTGAGGTGAAGATTACTGGACTCACAGTGCTCCTGTTACCTACAAGCCAATGCTGATAGAAAAATAAGCAAAGGAGTTCACCAGTGATTTGCCCTTTCCAGAGTTTCTTATTGGTTGAAGTAAACAAGAAGAATAATGGATTGATTGAGCCAACTCTGAAGACACGATAGGGTCCATAAGAGATGTTGATAGATTTGTCTGGCATTATTAAAAGCAGGCCGGAGTACGCCTGTTGGTACCCCCACACTGGCGAGTTTATTCTTAATCCTGGAAGCTGTTGCCAAGCTTGAGAACAGCCATACTAATGTTTTGCGTGTGGGTACGGCTTCGGGCCCCACGGGGGCTGTGGCACAAAAACCCAGCAGCAGCCAGGAGGGCTCAGCAGACAGGAAGGCTGGCACAGATGCTGCCACTGGCAGTAACAGAGGCCAGCTTCTATATAAAGGTTGGAAACAGGCTGGGATGGCAGTTAGCACGGAGCACAGCTCCAGGTCCCCGGGCACAGGAGGCAGCTTCTTTCTTCCCTCATTGTTTGAGCTGAGAACAAAGAGACAATTGACTGGGTATAGAAGTCTCATGACAAGTAAATGACACTTTGTTCAGGGTAATTGTAGGGCTCGCGTTGTTTCTGTGTCAGCTGATCAAAAAGGAAATTAAAACCTGCTAGGGAAACTGGTCCCCAGGAAGATCAACAAATAAGCTGCCGAATTCAATTTTCCTCCAGGGTTTTGGGAGGCGAACGGACAGGTATTTCCAGAATCTTACCCCTTGTTGAACTCCGTCGTCGGTGCTCCCTGTATGCTTGGCTCCCTGGGCTTGTCCCCTGGGTGGTTGTCATCTTCCCATCTACTTGGAGAATTTTGTGGCTCCTGGTCCCTGAAGGGCAGCACGTTCTGGTATAATGTTGAATTTCCTAACATTTCAAGAACCCTTCCAACCTATAAATGTCCAATGGTTCTTTCTCTCATTTTTCTTCCCCGTTGTCTCAGTTAGGGTTTCTCTTGTTGTGAAGAGACAGCACGACCACAACTATTCTTATAAAGGAAACATTAACTGGGGTGGCTCACCCACAGTTTCAGGGGTTCAGTCCATTATGATCATGACGGGGAGCGTGGCAGCAGGCAGGCAGATGTGGTGTTGGAGGAGCAGCTGGGAGCCCTGCATCTCGCAGGCCACAGGAAGTCGACTGAGACACTGGGCGGTATCCCAAGCATAGGAAACCTCCCTCAAAGCTTGTACCCACTGTGACACACCTCCTCCATCAGCAAGGCCACACCTCCTCCAGCAAGGCCACACCTCCTCTATCAGCAAGGCCACACCTCCTCCAGCAAGGCCACACCTCCTCCAGAAAGGCCACACCTCCTCCAGAAAGGTAACACCTGCTAGTAGTGCCGCTCCCTGTGAGAGATTATGGATGGGGTCCCATTACATTCAAACTACCACACCTGTGGATGTACATGTGTGTGCAGGTGCACGTGTGTGCGTGTCTGTGGAGGCCAGAGATGGATGCTGACGTCTCTCTCAGCCGCTGTTTTGCCTTCCCTTTTGAGGCAGGGTCTCTCGCTCATCTGAAGCTCACCAGTTGGGCAAGACTGGTTGTCCAGGGAGGTCCAGGAATCTCATTTATTTACTTCGTCAGCTTTGGAATGGCAGGTGTGAGGTACTATACCTGGATTTGTGTGTGTGTGTGTGTGTGTGTGTGTGTGTGTGTGTGTGTGTGTGTGTGTGTGCACGCGTGCTACGGATCCAAATCCGTGTCTCCACCTTGCGCAGCAAGTGTGCTGGGGAGTTTTTGTTAACGGGGCACAAACTGGGGACACTCGGGAAGAGGGGACCTCATTTGAGGACTAGCCCCCATCAGATTGGCTTGTAGGCACGTCTGTGAGGCAGTGTCTTGATGAACGATTGGTGTGGGGAGGAAGGCCTGATCCACGTGGGTGGTGCCACCCCTGGCCGAGTAGTCTTGGCTTATATAAGAAAGCAAGCTGAGCAAGTCCTGGGCAGCAAGTCAGTGGGTGGCGGTGTTCCGTGTCAGTGGGTGGCGGTGTTCCGTGTCAGTGGGGTGGCGGTGTTCCGTGTCAGTGGGTGGCGGTGTTCCGTGTCAGTGGGTGGCGGTGTTCTGTGTCAGTGGGTGGCGGTGTTCCGTGTCAGTGGGGTGGCGGTGTTCCGTGTCAGTGGGTGGCGGTGTTCCGTGTCAGTGGGTGGCGGTGTTCCGTGTCAGTGGGTGGCGGTGTTCCATGTCAGTGGGGTGGCGGTGTTCCGTGTCAGTGGGTGGAGGTGTTCTGTGGCCTCACCTTCAGTCCTTGCCTCCAGGCTCCTGCTGTGACTTCCTGCTGGTCATTAGGAAGGGGATTTCTTGTCCAGTCAGGTTTTTGTTTTGTTTTGATTCATAATCACCATCAAATTCTAATGAGGAAAGCCGGGCGTTGGTGGCGCACGCCTTTAATCCCAGCACTCGGGAGGCAGAGGCAGGCGGATCTCTGTGAGTTCAAGGCCAGTCTGGTCTACAGAGTGAGTTCCAGGACAGCCTCCCAAACTACACAGAGGAACCCTGTCTCGAAAAAAACAAAAAAAATTCTAATGAGGAAAACAGAAACCATATTAGGCATGTCAAACAAAGGAGACTTAATTGGAACGTGCAAAACGGGAAAGGCTACCTCTATCTTTCTGAAGGTGTGTTTCAGGGGAGATGTCACCACTCTTATTCCCAGGGCCGGGGTGAAGACTCTTTCTCACATTCCAGCCGACACAGTCGCCTCCTCACAGCCTGGTGAAACTATTTTGACGTATAGTGTGAGGGTTTCTTGTCTATGTGCAGAATGGCCTTCTGAGTAGCTCGCCAGTATGGTTCCTCTCCACTCGGTAGCAACGGTTCTCAAAGACACAGACTGCGGCCGAGCAGATGGGGAAGAGCTCTGGACTTGTGGAGTTTGTTGCCCGAATCTCCCCATAACACAGGGTCCCTCCTTTCTAGTGTCCATTTGCCCATCTATGACCCCATACAGGGCCTCTTGGCACTTAAAGAGGCTCCGCAAACATTTGACTATCCCCCTGTGGGTGTTGGGCAGCTCTGCCAGTTGTGTGGGTCACCAGGGGGCTGTCACATGATCCACAATCCCAAAACAACCTGATTCAAATCCGGTTGCTATCACTAACTAACTGCACAAGTTTAGGAAAGTCATTAGCGTTTGCATAACATCATAATGTTTGCATAAAATACATCTTCCCTTTGTGTCACTGTCTACAATGTTCTCTGTGTTGTAGCTAAAATACACTGAATAAATGACGTGCCATTTCTTACTGACAATGACATATGCAAGAATCCATCTGATCAGGACTCAATAAAAAAAAACGCAGTAAATGAGTTTTAAGGATTTATAAATAAGGAGCCATCTGTATATGAACAGGATTTGTTTTCACCGTGAATCATCTGGAAGCCTTGCAAGGGAGAAGACAACTGAATGAATTTGAAATGATCTGGGGTTCTCACATGCAAGTGTGGGTAAATCCAATCATGTGTGTAAGCGTGTGTGCACTTACATGTGCATGAGGTAGCCTACGGCATGGGTCTGCTTTGGAATTTTGTGTCCTGATAAATTAATCAGGCTCTGCTGAACACTGAGCAATTGTAGCTGGCGGATGGTTGTGAGGTACCTGCCGGCCATTGCTCCTCTGCTGCTGTCCCGGGCTGGGTGTTTGGACTGTTGGTGGTCATCCCCGTGCATGGGCGACAGATTCTCTTGGTCTGTCTTCACTCATGGCTCGGGTGTTGTGGGGCGTTTGCTCACCAGGCAGGGATTACGTGAAACATTAGAAGGGTGTTTCTAAACAGGAGCTCGTTCTTCCTTTCTGACTCAAACTCCTTCGAAGATTATCTTTTAGGTGTGTGTGAATGACAGGGGGTGTCAAAAGTGCCCAGACGGTGTAACAGATTTTTCTGGTGAGACCCAATGGCTGGGGAGGGGCAGTCGTGGAGACTAATGAAGATCTAACATGGTAACGCAGTAAGGATGACCTCACCAGGACAAATTAGGATTTGGGGAAGAAAATGAGATTAGTTTTGGAATTGTGTAAAGCTATTTATGAAGGGTCACAATAGGAGCAGCCATCAGAATTCATAGACAAGGAAATACAAGTGTACACACACACACACACACACCAATGTTCAACTTCTCTAAAACCGTAAGCAATGATAATTTATTAAACTCTAAAACTAAGAAAATAAATATAAACACTGTACACATGTGCACACATGCGCGCGCGCACCTGCGGGCGCACGCGCACGCACACACGTCATGCTCAGTGCCAAGAAACCTGAAGAGAAATAGTGTGTTTAGCTCTTGTTACTGACAAAGAGACAATCACGGTCCATTTGAATGTCTGAAAAGAAAGTCTACTGGCAAACTTAATAGTCTTCATGGCCACAGCTCCCAAGGACTATTCCCGTAAGGAAGAAAGCACAGTGGACAAGGATGTTTATCTACATGTTTCTGTTCATGATAGAGAAACTCGTAGGCAAAGCAACCGGCTGCAGTCAGAAACCTGTTGACTATCAACCCAGGAGAATTTTTGCAATCCAGGCCGCAACTGGGAAAGATACAGAAGGCCGGTTGGAGGTATCCCTTAGCCCACAGCGAAGAGAGAGAAGATGAGCATCTTTGCCTTCTCCAAGTTCTCGGTTTGAGTGGCAACGCTTGCTGGGGCGTGCTGGCCCCAGGCACCTCATGCAGCATGGACGCCCTACCAAGACTCCCCTTTGTCCAGTCTGGCGCTGTGGTTTGTAGCACCTGTGGTTGCTGTGAAAACTGCCCGAGGCAATCCCGGTGAAATCCTGGCACAGCAGGACAGCCACAGGAATCCCGCCCGGCAACAGTACTGTAAATATCGTTTGCTGCTATGCTCTTTACCAAACCCAAGGTTAAAAGAAAGCGAGAGAAATGGAGGAAAATTCTTGTTTGTGATAATGCAGCGGGTGAAGTGTTTGCTTCAGGGTTTCATCTTCTAATATTTTACAATTTTCAAATGTTAGCATTTCCGAGGATATATTACCCAGCTTAAATGTCTCCCAGGGCAAAATCCGCCCCCTCCCAAGGGCTTCCTTTCGGGCAGCTGAGATGATTTCACACCCCCGCCACATCGGTTCAGAATGACCACGCTGAACCAGAGTCCACAGGCCAGGCAGAACGGCCCCCTTACATCCCCGTCACCCCGGCATCTGCCCTAGAGAATTTGCCTTTTCAGATGTCCGATCATCCACACCTGTGAGGATACAGTGTCGTTCCTTGAGAGCCAAATCTTGTTTGAAACGTCTGATGCCAGAGGGCCCTTTAAAACACGGACAGCCTAACCACAGCCTCAGAAGGCCGCATTCACACAGGAGGCCGCTTGCACCTGACCCGTCTAGAAGAATGCGTCTTTCAGGCCGTGGGGCCGTGAATGAGATGCTCTCAGCTCTTCTCTTTAGGACGATTATTCTGAAGATCCGTGCTGTCCGTGAGGCCTTCTTGGCAGCTGGACAGTCAGCTGAATCTTTCCGTCAACCCGTCCTCCTCGCTCTGTTTTATATTTCGTCTTATTTTGACGACTGCTTGGCTAGGGCAGCAGAGCCTGGCAGGGACCCTGCCTTTCTGCGCACCTGTGTTTTTTAATTGCGTGTCACGGACTGACAAGGCGAGAGGCTGTAGACCAGGGAGTCTGTGAGAACGGCGAAGAGAGACGTTCTCTCAGTGGGGGTGGCAGGGGAATAAAATGAAGGTCTGGAAGAACCAATCTCAGGGCATGAGCTCTGAAAACGGTCTGCCGACCATCCGTGCAGAGGACGGCGATGACAACGACCAAGGCTCCGGAGGCTGCCCACCTCCCCCCTCCCCGCGCACCCCTGGGCAACAGGAAGCCTGACTCTGCCAGGCCTGAGAGCACCTTCCCAGAAGAACAAGGGACTTCCTGTTCTAGCACATGGATCTGTGACAAGGGCTTAGTTTGGTCTTGAACACGGAAGAGGAAGACATGCTAAATGTCTTGAATGGTGGAAACGTCATTTTCCAGTTTCTAAACAGACAGAACTTTCTGAAGA